TAAGTCAATGTTGTTTTCTTTCAGTCATCTGCAAGCTCATCTGATACAAGTTCAAGCACTTCAGAGTAGACATGCATCAGTTACATTTTAAAAATATAAAAGGGGGAGATGTGCAAGAGTGGTGACTTAGATCATGGTCTCTGCCTCACGGCTATGGCTGAACTTGTGCTCAGAACTTTCTGAGCAAATATGCAGAAAAAGATTGCCCAGTTACTATGGTGATGCCCTGCCTGATGAAGTTCTGTGCAAAGGCCCAGAACTCTATGAGTCTGGACCTTAAGGTCAGCTGCTGGGGATAGAGGATACAAGATACAAGATAACCACAATGACTCACAAGTGCTGTGACCTTCAAACTTGTTTGCTTTACAGAAACTTTCCCACGAGAAACCTTTTGATGATAATATAATAAATGTGCTATACTAGCTCTGTGTCATTGTTCCCCCACCAGAGGATGTTGTCTTACCTGGTTCCAGCTTTCTCTCCGTAAATTTTTGTGTGTCTTTCTTAATTCCCCATTGACCCTCCTTGATTTCTAAGGTTCTCTTGTGAAGGTCTCAGCATCAGTTCTTAAATTTCTAGTCCAGAAGGGGGTAAGGTCAATAATTGCAATAAATATAACTTGGATAGAGTCCACTTTAGAGAACCTCTCCTGGTATTGATTCCAATGGATACCTGCTCTGGCTGAATAAAAAAGACATTAGTTTTTAGAACAGTTATTAATTTCCAGAACAATTGAGAAGATAGTATCAAGAGTTCCCATGCATCCAGTTTCTCCTATTATTAATATCACATTATTAAAGAACCAGTACTGATGCATTATATTACATTATTTTTTCTTAGCTTTTATGTAAAGTCATTTTTCTGTTCCAGGACCTAATTCAGGTTACCTCATTACATTTGGTCATGTCTTCTTAAGGTTCCACTTGGCTGTGACAGTTTTCCAGACTTCCCTTGTTTTTGATGACCTTGACAATTTTAACAAGTACTGCTCAGCTATATTTAATCCTAAATATAGCTCTATTATCCCTCTATTGGGATGACTTAAAATTCTTTCTCATTATACTGGAATTATGAGTTCTGGAAAAATACTACAGAGGTAAAGTATAATTTTGATCTCATTTTATCAAGTATCCATACAATCAACATAGTCTATCACTTGATGTTAATTAATAACATGGCTGAACAAGTTTTTGTCAGGTTTTTCTACTAAATAACTGTCTTTTATTCTTTGCAAACTATAGATTTTGAAAGGAAGTCACTATGATCAATTCCCACTTAAGGAGTGAAGAGCTTTTCTCTTCCTCTTTGAGGGTATGGTATCTACATAAATTTTTAGAATCTGCACATGATTTTCTCTTCTCTTCCATTCATTTATTTATCTAATTATGTATTTATATAAGTATGCTATTATGATTGTTAGTATTTTACATTGAGTTGTAACCCCATACTATTTTATTTTGCTGTTCAAATTATTCCAGCTTTGGCCTCGAAGAGCCCATTTAGCTCATTGTCTTTGGCATAGCCCCATTAAAATGGAATTCTTTGAGCAAGAATTAAAGCTAGACTTGTCTTATATATTTTCTGATCAAGTCCTAGAATCAGCCTTTTCTCCAAGGACTCCTGGTTCCTTTATTGTTAAAGTCAAGATCTGGGTCCTAGGTTTACTTATTGCTGCTAGGCATTGTCTCTTTTAGGCAGTCTCAGCTGACAAAGCAGAGAAATATGTATGCATACTAACTCCTGAATATTCACACATCTATAAATATTTCTGTACGTAACTATATGTATCTATTTTATGCCAAAAATCTGTTCATAAGATGTTCCAACATTAGTCCATTGGTATATGGATCATTCTATTCTCCTCCCATTGCTTATGTTGATTCTTACTCCAAAAGCAAGAAACCTGTTTCCCACCATCCCTCATTTATTTATTTAACTATTCCAGTGTATATGCATATCATTTCAGAATTGTTAACTTATATTTCCAACTTCATTAAATATTGTATAATGTTTATATGCTGTTTCTTTTGCCATTAGTTTTAAGGATTCTATTCAGTTCCAGAGTTACTTAGGTAAGAAGATTTCCTCACCCCTTTCAGTGAGCATACATTACATTTGTAATGCAGTTAGATTATCTTGTCACAGTCTGCATTCCTTTTTGGAAAACACCAATCTCCTAAATGATTTTTTTTTGTAATTCACCTACAAGTTTCACTCTTTGTGCTATGAAGTTCTAAATATTTATGGTCTCACTGTCCTAAAATTCCTCTGTGCTTCACATATTAAAGCTTCTCTTTTTCTGAATCTGTGACAACCACTAATCTTTTTACTGTCTCTATAGTTTTGCCTTTTATGGAATGTCAAAGAATTGAAATCATATATTATGTAATTATTTCAGACTGGTTTCTTTCACTTATCAATATTCATTTAAAGTTCATCTTCATCATCTTATGGCTTGATGGATAAATAATATACCATTGTGTGGTTATATGATAATTTGTTTATTCATCACCTATTGAAGAACATCTTAGTTTTTAGAGAGTGTGAATGAAAGTGCTATCAACATTCATGTGGAGGTTTCTGTGATGATATAAATTTCAAATCAGTTGTGTAAATAGCTAGAAACATGACTGCTCATAGTTTAGCACTGTTTAATACAGTTAAACTATTTTTAACTTTGAAAGAAGTTTTGTTAGTTTTCCAAGCAATCTTCTAAAGTGACTTAGTATAGTTTGGATCTTTAAATGTCTCCTAAAGGCCCATGTGTTAAAGCCCTAGTCTCCAGCCTATGGACCAGTTGGGAGATGGTGTAATTTTTAGAAGGTGGGGATGAGTGGAAGGAAGTTAGGTCACTGGGGGTATACCCTTGAATAGGATATTGGAGACCCCTGACTGCTATCAAGTGAATTAGTGTCCTCTGCTACATACTCCTGCCATGATTCGATGTGCTCTTACAGACCCTCAGCAACAGGGCCTATTGATCATGGACTGGAACCTCTGAAACTGTGAGCAAAAATAAACCTTTCCTCTTTTTAAGTTAATTATCTCTTGTCACAGTGACAGCTGACTAACAATGATTGATTTTTTTTTTTTTTTTTTGTACAGGAGATTGAATTCAGGGTCACGAAACCACTGAGCCACATTCCCAGCCCTATTTTGTATTTTATTTAGAGTCAGGGTCTCACTGAGTTGCTTAGCACTTCACTCTTGCTGAGGCTGGCTTTGAACTTGTGATCCTCCTGCCTCAGCCTCCCCAGTCGCTGGGATTTCAGGTGTGCATATACCACCCAGCAATTAAATCATTTTTATTCCTGTCAACAATGAATGATAGTTCCTGTTGCTCCATATCTTTGTCAACTTTTGGACTTTAGCTATTTTACCAGGAATGTAGTGGCATTTTATGGTTATTTCATTTGCATTTCCTTAATGCAAATGATATTAAATATTTTTCTTTTATGTGCTTTCTTTTTCATCTATGTATCTTATTTGTGCTTGGTAGGTTATCTGTTCAGATATTCTGCAAATTTTTAGCTTTTTAGCTGGCTTGTTTAATTTTTGTTATTAAGTTTCAAAAGTTTTTTTGGGGGGGGTTTAAAACATTTCTTTTTCTTTTCTTTCTTTCTTTTTTCTTTTTCTTTT